AGGGGAGGGGAGAGCAGGTACCGCGGGGTGGAGAGGAGAGGAAAAGAGGGCAGGGACCGCGGGGTGGAAAGGAGAGGAGGATAGTGGAGCGCTGGGCAATAGCAGAGGGGAGCGCAGGGATTGTAGGGCCCGTGGTATGGAGCCTTGGCTGCCCGGGGGAGCGCGGAACGGCTGCTGGGGTGGAGGTGTCTCTCCGCACCACGAGTGGTCTCGGGAAGAGGCAATGGCTCCGGAACAGAGGGGAAGGAGAGACCCTCGGTCCTCTCGGGACATGCTGCCTCGGGCAAGGCTAGCAGGACTGGGGAGGACCTGGTGTTTTTCTTTCATCAAGGTTGGAAGAGACCTCTAAGATCATGAAGTCAAACTATTAACCTGCCACTCTGCTGTAACTCCTAAACCATATCCTCCAGTGTCAGATGCAGACGCCTCTTAAATATCTCCAGGGTATAAATTGAAAGAGAAGAAATTTAAGTTGTAGGTTTGGAGGAAAACTTTTCCTGTGAGAGTTCTAAGATACTGGAACAGACTGCCCAGGGAGGTAGTAGATGCCCCAACCCTGGCAGTGTTCACAGCCAGGTTGGCTGAGCCTTGAGCAACCTGCTCCGGTGGGAGGTGTCCCTGCCCAGGGCAGGCTGGGACTGGATGATCTTCAAGGTCCACTCCAACCTCTTAACAGTAATCAATTTACAGTCTAGTTACAGTATGTTTCCAACCAAGTATATTGTGGGTTTTTTCCCCACTACTTTTTTCTTTAGCTAAGGCAGTGTAAGAAACTGGATATTGTTTCTTAAACCAGAAGTTGCTGGGAAGTCTTTGGATGAGAGAGATGCTTTGGTTTTACCAAAATACTAATGCTGATGGGTGATGTGTATGAAGGGATGGATTTATGCTGACCAAGTATAATGGGACAGTTTCTTTCCAATATCTCATAGAAAACATTTTTAGCCTGGTGTTTGCAAGGCACCACCTTGCACTTACTCCTGAACCGCAGCTTGATTTTTTTGGTGTTAAAACAGTAAAGAAACTTTGCAAGTCCAACCTAATCCCCTTATGTGTCTTTGTTTATAGCTCTTAGTCATAGGTCAAAGGGTATTTGGACACGATGCATGGAGCTGGGGCCTGTTTTTAACACTGCAATGCAAACTAACCACTTGTTGCAATGAAGTCCTTCAAAGTTACTAGTTATTTTATAAGATGTTTCAATTTGCTGTTATTGAATGGATTTATTAGCTAAGTTTTCCTGAAACATTGCTTGTTTTTTTTTCCCTTGGCACTGTTTAAATGAAATGTTGTTTTAATAAATGGCGTTGTATTATTAAAAGACTACCTTTTCCTTGCTCTTTGCTGTCACTTAGAGCTGTCTTATACTTCAGCTGAGGACGAAATGTCCTCTAGAGGGAGATCTTGTTGCTTTTATGTGCAAAAGTGTTGGTCAGCTTGTTCCAGTTAAATGTCTTGATCACTTGTAAAGGATCTGTGATGATGAATGTGTGTCTGAATAGGCACCTGATATTTCATCACAGAATATAGACTACAGCCTGTCATGTAACACTTCTGTAGGTTAAGTGAAGCATAGTTCTTTTTTAATTCAAATAGATCTAATTCTGAAGCTAATAAATAACCTTTAAAACTTGCAGAGTATTTGTAGGGCCTACATTTGTGGCCTCAATTCTGCAAATGCTCACAAAGATAGTGACTTTCATGCAGCTTTCTCTTTTTCATCAAGATGCTTTTGAGGGCAGTTTCTTTGCTGACCTAAACCAAGAATCATAGAATCATAGAATTTTAAGGGGTTGGATGGAGCTTAGAGATCATTTAGTCCCAACCCCCTGCCATGGGCAGGGACACCTCCCACCAGAGCAGGTTGCTCAAGGCTTCATCCAACCTGGCTGTGAACACTGCCAGGGTTGGGGCAGCCACAGCCTCGCTGGGCAACCTGGGACAGGGTCTCACCACTCTCACAGGAAAAAAAAGTTTTCCTAATATCTAACCTAAATTTTCCCTCCTTCAAGTTGAACCTGTTACCCCTTGTCCTGTCACTGCAGTTTCCTAACAAAGAGTCCCTCTCTGTTCCCTTGTAGGCCCTTCAGATACTGATAGACTACTATGAGATGTCCACACAACCTTCTCTTCTCCAGGAATTTCAGCAGCTGATGTGTTGTGGGTTAAATCTTCTCAGCATAATGAGTGCTAAGAGCTGGGCAAGGAAACAAAGCAGTAATAAACTGTCCCGTTGACTCAATCTTGACAGTGCTTTTTGCCTATAAACGGCAGAGGTTGAAATATTACTCTGCAGACACAGCAGTTGTTTGAATGTTGTTAATCCTGTACTCCATGGAAATTACTGGAAGAAGCTTGGTGAGGTTATTATGGTGGTGAGTTACTCAGCATGTTACATATGCAGCCTTGGCATGAGATTTCTTTCTCACAGACACCTTGAAAAATCTTATTCCACAGTAAAGGCATCTAAGCTCTTCTTCTTCTGTAAGTCAGTGTGAATAGTAAATTCAGTGTAGCTTCTGACATTCTGTCCTGTAAAACTAAAGGCTGTGTGGAACTTGCCTTGTGGATATGGTTTGAAAATTTCCTCACACTGCAAGAGTGCTGAATAGGTCAAAAATGGGTTTACTTTTTTACTTGCCAGTTGAAACCTCACACACTGCTTCCAAGTTGTCTGTACTGGTAAATAGATGTTGTTAGACTGACTCCAAAATAGTTCGAGGGTTTGTAGTCTTATAAATGGACATAGCAAAACACAAAAGGTATGAACCAATCAATTAAAAGCATAGTTACTTAATTTCTTTTGTGTGTGTCGAAGTAATAGCGTAAGCAAGGTGATTTGCAGTATTTCTATTGCAAGTTTGCTATCCTTTTCATACTCCTTTTCATTGTTTTGTGGTATGCAAATACACCTTGGCAGTGCATTGGAAATGTATGCAAAGGGCTTGGAGGAAAATCATAGAATCATTAAGGTTGGAGGAGACCTCTAAGGTCATCAAGTTCACCCATTAACCTGTCACTGCTGGAACCCCTAAACCAGATCCTCCAGTGCCAGATCCAGATGCCTTTTCAACACTTCCAGGAATGGTGACTGCACCACCTCCCTGGGCAATATTCCAATGCCTGAACACCCTCACAGGGAAAACATTTCTCCTCACATCCAATCTCACTCTCCTTGTCTCAGCTCGTGGCTATTCCCTCTAGTCCTTTCTCTGCAGCCATGGCAGGAGAGACCAGCAAACTGGGAGAAGACTGGGAAAAGACCACAAATGGTGGTGTGTAATTGAATGTACAGATGCGTTACAACAGAGAAATAAATTTCATTAATAAACAGGAATAAAAGCGTTGCTTTTTTGTTAAGAAAGGCATATTTGTATCCCTAAGTTACTCCAAGTGTAGACTCTGTAATTAATTGTGCTCTGAATCATAAATTCTTTATTTTAGATCATAATTTTGGAGGATTGCAGCCCTGAGATTTGTGGTGTCTGCTGTGTCTAGCCATGATGAGTTCGTCACTGGTCGCTTATGATGATTCAGGCTCTGAGACAGAAGCTGAAGAGATTGAAGTCCCCAGTGCTTCTGGCAGACAAACAAGCCATCCAAGTTCTTCTGTGAGTAGTGTTCAGCACTTTGCACCTGGTATTTCGGGTACAAAATCTCCATATGAAACGCACCCAGCTGAGAACATTGGCAGTTCTGTTTGTGAAGATCCCCCTGAGCATTATGCACAGAATAACAACACTGACTTGACATCTCCTTATTGTAGGAGGACATACCCTGGCCATGCTGCATTATGTATGGCTTATAAAAACTATCAACAGACTTCAAGCTCTTCAACATACTCTGGAAATGGCATTTCCCAGAAGAGAATACATCAAGACACTACTCCTGCCATAAAAGGAATTAGACCATATATCCCTAAACGACTGCGTCAAGAAAATTCCAGTGTGCCTGAAAAGAAAGACTCTGCTCAGAGAGGTAGCTCAGATGGTGATGTTGAACTGGGTGTATCAGGAGAGCAGACTTGGGGAAAGATCTCTGAATTAATTAAGCCATATTTGGGATCCAAATATAAAGTAACTGAAGTCCCCAAAAGCTTAATATTTTCCATGTCTAAACACAGTGGTCCTGTTAATGAGATCCAGTGGTGTCCTGTATGGGAACAGAGTCACATGCTTCTCTCAGCTTCCATGGACAAAACAGTCAAGGTAATGTAAAACAAGATGCTTTGTGGATCAATCATCAGACTTAAAGATCCCGTATTAAATAATGCTGTTCTGGAAATAACATCCTTGCTTGTGTGTGTTTAACAGTGCAAATATATTCAGAACTTGAGGAGGTGCTTTGAATTATCAGAGCCTGTTATGAACTTGCATCCTAATCCTTTGTCATACCTACAGTCAGTTCCATTTTCCTGGAATTTGGTGGTGAGCTGGTTTGGGCTGGGGTGGAATTTATTTTCATCACAGTGGCTAGTATGGGGCTGAATTTTGGATTTGTGGATTTGGATTACCAACACAGGGTTGGTAATATAGAGATGTTTTTGTTGTTGCTGAGCAGAGCTTACACAGAGGCAAGGCCTTTGCTGCTTCCCATCCTGCCACACTGGCAAGGAGTTGAGGTGCATGCTGGGATGGGAGGAGACACAGCTGGGACAGGTGACCCAAACTGACCAAAGGGATATTCCATACCATAGGACATCATGCTCAGTATATGGGAGGAAGAAGGAGGAAGGGGGGGAGATACTTGCAGTGATGACATTTGTCTTCCCAAGTAACCGTTACATGTGATGGGCTCTGCTCTTCTGGAGATGCTGAACACCTCCTGCCTGTGGGAAGCAGTGAATGAATTCCTTGTTTTACTTTGCTTGTGTGTGCAGCTTTTGCTTTCCCTATTAAACTGTCTTTATCTCAACCTATGAGTTTTCTGCCTTTTACCCTTCTGATTCTCTCCCTGATCTTGCTGGTGGGGGAATGAGCTGTGTGGGGCTTGGCTGCTACCTGGGGTTAAACCACAGCAGGTGGGTTTTTGGTTTGTGTCTTGGTGTTTAGACCTTAACTGTAGAAGTTAGACTTCTACTAGGTCGTTTCTTCTGATCTGTATCAGTGTGAGGTTTTAATTTTTTCCCACTTTAGTATCACAATGGCCACAAGCACTATGATCTGCATGCAGATTCTGCCTTAAGTCATTAAACAACGGACTGCCAACACGAATAGTATTTTGAGGAGCTTTACCTTTCTGACAGGCTTCCATGAATACTCCTGGAGGAGGTAGGCTATGTCAGATGGAGTTTCCATCTGAACTAATGTGGCAAGTTTTGCCTCCCCGAAAGGTATTCTATCATGATCTAAGGAGTTTTCTCACCATAAGTTTGTTTCAATACCTAAAGTGTATTTCCCTTGTAGCTTTAATGAGTTTGGCTTCAGTTCTTTGTTAATTTTGTCAGTCCAATCAGTCCTTTAAAAATGGGTAATAAAGGTATTTTATGTGTATGTTTTCCCAGCTGTAGGGCTAATTGCATCTCTGGGTTCAAATAGTCTTCTGAAGTGGGTTTACAGAGGAACATAGTTTTGATAAGAGTGCACAGGAAGTGTTCTTTCTGATGGAAGACAACCTTTATTGCATCTAACATGTATTTGTCATAGCAGGCACAATTATTTTAAATCTTGCTTCTAAAATTTAGGACTTCCTGTAAGTCTTACTAAATAGAGACAAGAACAGCACCCTTTGTACCAGCACTTTGTATTTCTAAAACCAAAGGAGAGAAGAGAACTTAAACTGAATTTGAATTCTGATTTAATGTAGGAATATTTCATATTCTTAAATTCTGTGATTCAAAGGAGGATTTTTTTATTTAACTATTTTGCTGTTTAATTAATCTAACATAAACCTCCCCTGGCAGAGCTTGAGTCTGTGCCCTCTTGTCCTGCTGCTGGTTGCCTGGGAGAAGAGACCAACCCCCACCTGACTCCAACCTCCTGTCAGGGAGTTGCAGAGGGTGATAAGGTCTCCCCTGAGCCTCCTCTTCTCCAGGCTGAACAGCCCCAGCTCCCTCAGCCTCTCCTCATGGCACTTGTGCTCCAGTCCCTTCACCAGCCTCGTTGCTCTTCTCTGGACCTGCTCCAGCACCTCAATGTCCCTCCTGACCTGAGGGCCCAGAACTGAGCACAGGATTCAAGGTGGAAAGCAGCAATTTAAATTTGATTTGTACAAAACTTCTATGCACCTCTGACTTCAGCATGTCTGAATTGGAGTTTTTTGTGTTAATTTGTCACATCTTATGCTTAATGTTTGTTTACTGTCCCAGAGCCTCATTTTACTGAAGAGTGAAATGATGGATATGTTGAATTTGGTAAAACAATGTATAATCCAAGTTATCATTGCAGTGTAAAATTATTAAAAGTTGAAAGTTATGGTATGTCTGTTTTGTCTCCTAAGCAGAAAGAAAGATTATCTTTGCAAAGTGGTGTTACCACCAAGCATGGAAGCCATTAACAGGAAGGTTGGTTTTGGAAGAAATCTATGAGGAGAGGCTGAGGGAGCTGGGGCTGTTCAGCCTGGAGAAGAGGAGGCTCAGGGGAGACCTTATCACCCTCTGCAACTCCCTGACAGGAGGTTGGAG